ATATCGTTTTTCAGCTTACTGATGAACTGGTAGTTACAAAACAAAACGTTGAGCTACAGTGAGCCGAATTAGGAACATACAGGGAAGAATTCAAAAGTAGAGAGTAAAAAGTAGAGAAAATGGATGCCGCACATACTGCCATCCTGGTGGTCTTCGGCGGTAGGGTAAATGTTGAAAGAGATTCAAAGGAACAATCTAACCATTTAAATGCAGTATCTTACCACTTCCAGCTTATCCCGATCATATGATCTTCTGCATACCACTTCATCAGATCCCTGCTGCAGATCCAGCTGGTAGATAGTTTCGGAAAAATGGGAGATGCAAAAATGAGTCAGTAACTAATCATTATCAAGCTGACGGCATCGCGGTGGGATCGCTAAATACCAAAAAGAAGGTGAAAGGCGTTAAGAATATAAAGGCAAACGCTCTGGTTCAAGCTACTACTATTTGTGACAATTGAGGTTTGCCTGGGAGAGAAATTGGTCAATATCAACCAAACCGCATAATAGCTAAACTTCGTCAGGCTTTCCTCGCTAACTATCCAGAAATTCCCTGCTTCTTTAGTCACAATGTAATGTAACGTTGGCGTGAGGTCGATAATCAATGCAACCAATTAAACGGGGCCACACCGGCAGGCGATTAGGATATGCGCGATAGCAAGTGTCACATGGGATTGAAGTGGTCACTTGCATCTAGAGTCCCTCTCCCGTTACGACGAAACCCAGGGTCTTGTCTTTAGTCTAAGATTCACACCACCGTCTACCTTGCACCTCGGCAGACTTGCCTGTGGGGTGACTCCTTTCAATTGGTGGCGCCGCTTGGTGACCCTCTTAACGATGCCACTTACTTCCAAACATGTGAAAATGAAGAAACTCCATTTGGGCGTACAAGTAATAGTAATAGTAATAAGTAAACTTCATATAATGCATTCAGATGGTGGAACTTTTAGGCGTGAAGATTTCCAACAAATCAGATGTAAAGTATGAGCTCAAACATTCATTAATATGAATTAAACATGAACCCGGACATATTTCTGTATAAACATCATGCAAGATGTAGTAACGAAAATGAGTGGATGCTTTCTGATGGAAAGGTATCAGTGTTGAAGAAAGGCCTATAACTTGCCGTGTATTGCGCAAATTTTATGCTTTACTTTTATGTTAGCGTCGCTAGAGTGCCCACAGAAAAGAGGAAAAAAACCAATCAACGTTTCATGTTTGCGCACATGCGAGTTTTCAGCCTCTAAGTAGTTATAACCCCTATTCAAATCAACTTTCTACAATGTTCGAGCTCAGGAAAAAAAATAGATTGCAGTTATCTGAAAGGACTGAACATTTCGAAAGGCAGTTGGGCCGGGAAGTAGTCTCGCTGCTTTATTTGGGAGTTCGCCGTTCAGTTTTTTTCAAACTCCCAAGTATTATATTACATTTTGCTTTCAAACTTACCTCCTGGGGCTTGAGACACGAATTCGCTTACTGTCTCCACTTTCTTGCACCTCGGTTTAGACAAAACACATGCCCGAGACATCGGACTTTCTCTGGAGTGATATCTGACATGGGAAAATCATGTGTGGACGGTGTTGCGGTAATTATTCCAGTTCACAAGTGCACCACGCATTCTTCAGTAGTCGAAAGATGGGATTTCGTTCGGGTTTGTTTCTCCCAGGCTCACAAACTATGATAGAAAATTAATCTGACTTCGTCTGATCGTGTAAGCCGAATATTGTAGTTAGCTTTCCCTCAGCGTTACTCCTACTCCGCAACTACGTCTATAAATGTTTTCATCTCATCCCTTCAATGAAAATGTTCATGTGTTCATGTCATGATGATTATTACAAGCTAATCCTCAGAAAACTCCTTCATCTCTTTAAATGGAAGTGGCGAAGTTAGAGAAAGGTCACATGGCAGTACATCCAATTATGTGAGTTTATCCCACAGGCAAGTGAGAGGCAGAGGTGTGAAATAGGCAGAACTGTGAATCCTGGATTAAATTTCCACTCCCCTAAACCTATCATAGCCGTAACAAGGTCTGAGGGTCTACGGCAAGAATGTAGTAAGCGTATTGGTGAACCTACATAGAGTTCGTTTTTGAGAACTTATCTGACTTGCTCGTGAATTGAACATTGCTCTATCAGGAAAGGATCTCGAAAAGAAGGAGTATGAATGAATAAGCAGAGAGAGGACGGATATTGTTTATGAAGTTGTTGTTAACGAATATCGTCAATCGTTGACACTCAAGAAAAAAAGAAAGGAAAGAAAGAGGAGATTCTGACCTTGTTCTTCTTCCGATGCACATGTTTTGTAGAAAAATCGCTCGTCTTCACAGTGAGGTCCGGTACTTTTCTCCGGCGCATGGCAGCGCCATATTCTCTCCCCTTTCTCCTCTCCCCTTCCCTCTTTCTCTCTCACCCCTCCCTCCCTTCCAGCCTCCCCTTTCTTGCCCCTTCCCTCTACCCCTCCCCCGCATCCGGCTGCCACGGCAGCACCATGTAGAATGAGACTGAGTGTGCTCGATCGGTGTTTATATAGCCGCTGTGGGTGTTATCATGATCATGACATCAACATCACGAAGTGTTGCCCTTCGTACTCCCTGGTTTTGTGAGCGGTCGGTCCGGACAGAACGACACACACACCGACAAACCGACACACCAAAGTTCTGGTTTATATAATGAAGTGATTGCTACCCGAACTGAGGTATTGATGCACTTACTGGCATTGTTCATCTTACAGCGGAGTCTTCTAGATATTGCTGGATCAAAGTGATGGTATTGATCTTTTCCTTCTAGAAAACCTAGGTTTATCCTCTATTAGAGTAGGATCAAGGAACTGTAGAACTAACGACAATAGCAGAATCGTCGATAACGAGATGACAGTTGATAAGGGCAAAGGAATTCAAGTTTATATACCCAAGACCCCGAAATTACGAGAAATATTTTCATAGAGCTGCGTTAGCGGCTTCGTTCGCAGTTCGCGACTCCGGTGATAAGGACATTGCGCGATAGTGAAGAAGATATGTGTCGACAGGGAGGGGAGAGAAAAGATCACCGGCGGCCCGGACGCGAGCGCGCTGGTGACGCCGCAGCTAATAATAAGGCTGAGGCGCTGAAAAGATGAGTCAACGTCCGCTGACACTTCACTGCAGTAACAGGGTTGCTGGCATTTCAGTAACCTATATAATCAATAGTGCGCGGAGTAAAATAATGTTTTTGTGGAGTTTTAACTGTAGCATACCGTAATGGAATGAAGACAGTCAATACCTTGTGTATATCCTTAGAAGAGCCGTTAAGCTGGAGTTCATTCCTATGAAATCGATATTTACTCCGATTCCCTCTTACGCCACTACTTACTACACAGTGAAATGGAAAGTATAATAAATTCTAGTAATGTCTAATGTATCGAAGAATTGGCTGCAGCGCTAGTTCTTGCTCGTTCCCTAGCCGCCTCTGACGTCAAAATGACGTCATCCAGCACGCGGACGCGTCCGCGTAGCCGGTGAGCTTTTCTATGGAGCCTCGACAGGGGGACTAGCACAGTAGTATGAGATTAGAACAGTGCGGGTGATTAGATACGTATTGTTCATTCGCCTGAAGTTGCCTAAAGCTCCGCTCCTTTTCAGTCAATATGTATCTAATCATCCCAGCGGAATACACTGCTTTACTACTATTTTAATATCCTCTCCTCTACTATCCTTAACTCACTAGTCGCTAACTGTGAACCGAGCCGGTTATGTTCCCGAGAACCACGCCACGGATAGTTCTTACGTATACTCCCCTGGAATTAGTGATTGCCTCATAAACAAAACCTGCCCGAGCCAGGGACATGTTTTGAAACATCCGTCATGGTTGTTGCCTAATCGTTACCACTTTCGCGAGCATTCAATCAATATTTCTCTAGCTCCTCAAGCTCTGCCGTTTCGTTGCTCACGGAATCGCATT